AAACCATGGGATTGGCCTTGGATTATTCCTTTCACAGCCCAGATCCTGGTTCCAAAGGCTTGCCCTCGAGTCCCTGGGGCCCCTGTCAGATTTAGACACTAAAGACCCCGGTCCCCACCCCAGCTCCCAAATCTGATCTTCAGACTTCTGCCTCTAGATACCCAGAGCCCAAACAAAGTCCAGACTCTCAGACTCTTGAACCTGCACTAAATCCCAGGACCGTCCTCCCTATCCCCCCAACCCCAGACACCCCAGATTTGGGCCCCAAAGGCCTCTCCTATGGTGGGAAAAATACTGACGCTGGAGCCTGCAGACCTGGGTTAGATTCCTCCTCCTGCTCCCTCCAAGCCGTGTGAGGCTGAGCCGGAGGAATGAAGGCCTCAGAGGCCCTTCCAGGTGAGCCCCCCTCACCCCCACCCCCACCCCATCAGGACTCCAGACAAATCACCGGCCCTCACACAGCAGCCACCGGCATGGCAGCCCCTCCCCAGGCTGACCTAAGCCCACAGGCTCAGCCCCAGCCCTCCCCCTGCCTCCCCCCCTCACAGTCCTCCATGGCCCTAGGTGGGGGACGAGGAGCCCCAGCTTCAGGCCGGCGATGACTGGATTGGAGTGGTCCCAGTGGGTGAGGAGCAGGTGGAGACCCAGGGAACCGGCCCTGAGGAGTCCTTCACCTCCGCTGTGGTCAATAAGGTAATGTCACTGGAAGACTAGGCTGGGAGGGTGGGCCAGAGAGGGGCCCTGGGACAATGGACAGGAGAGAGAGCTGCTGCTCTCAGGGAGGACTTCCCAGAGGAGGCGGGCCTAGGGGCCTAAAGGGGCTTCCTGCTCAGCAGGCCCAGTGGGATGAGAGGGGGGATCCCCAGTGCTTCCAGCCCCGGGGGGCTCAGGGACACAAGGGGTCCCACTGTGCCCACTTCTCCGCCTCTGTCCTGCTCCCACAGATGAAGCGAGCTCTGGTCCTAGGAGCCTCCGCCCTGCTCATCCTGGCCCTGAACCAGAATGCCGTCCGAGAGGTAAGCTGGGCTGGGCTGGGCTAGGGCATGGGTGAGGCTGGGAGGCTGCCTGGGGGGAGCCGCAGCCCACACACTGACCCCTCTGTTCCTGCTCACCGAGAAGCTAGATGTGTCCGAAGTCCTTTCCAAGCCCATCATTGTGGTCCAGATGTCTGATAACGTCACTAAACTCCTGAGCGCTTTGTTGGGGTGAGTGGGGACCCAGACCTGGGCCACGTGAGTCTGTGGTCCCAACATGCATGCCTTGCTCAGCTGTCTTGGGGCCTTTCTCTTACTTAAGACCTTAGTCTCCTTATCTGTAAAATGGGTACAGGGAGAGGAAAGGGGGATGGTTGTTCAGTGAACCAAGAGAAAGTGTGCTCTCTCATGATGAAAAGTGTGGTGGAAAGTGCCCTTTGGGAAAGGCCTGGTTCTGTTACTCATCGGGTAACCCAGCCAGGGCCCCAGGATGGGGCTTGAACACAGGTCTTGTCTGTGCAGGGGCCTGCAGGCCACAGCCAAGATCACCTCTCAGGCCATGCTGCTGGAGAACGTGGGCCTGACACTGACCCTGTGGTCCACCTGCGGCCTGTCCCGGGGTGGCCTCTACGGGGAGTGGCAGGGCGTGATCTGCCCTGGAGAAAGTGGCTCCAGGGTCCAGGTATGTGTGGGCCAGGGCCCAGAGGGTGCCTGCGTCTCCTGGGGGGAAAGCACACTCACTGTCACAGTGACCACAGTTTGTGTCTTAGCTCCTCTTCTAGACTGGAAGCTCCCTGAAGGGAGGGGCTGCATCTTATAGAAACTAGATACCACCGTCCATATGCCACAGTAGGGGTGTAAGAAATGGATGGATGCATGGATGGATGGATGAGTGGATGGAAGGATGGGTGGATGGGTGGATGGATGGATGGTTG